TGTCACAGATCAGCTGCCTTTATAAACTATAATAAAAACAATTTACCAGAAAAATGATACAAAAAAGACATATAAAACTCTAGCCTTATTTTTTTATTATTGCAGTCAACAGGATCATTACTGTAAATGCTTTTCAACACTTGTGTTAATGTCTGTGCAGATCCTCTTGCACCTGCTTTGTGATGGATGAACACACAGTCTACTATCATTTGTCAGTTCCGGTGGAACAGCCATTAGCTCCCAGGAGGAAGGAGTTTCTGGAACTATAAATCGAGGAGGTCCCCTAGATTTCTCCAGGCACCAAGCCTGAGAGCAGGAAACCCAGGTGGATGTTGAGAGTAAAACCCAGCATAAGGTAGGGCTACGTTTTAGTCATGTGGACATGCTGTCCTGCCTATCTCTGCTTAGGGATGGAGAGGCACCACTTTCAGAGCCTGATCCCTGGATTATAGTGCCATGTGCATGGCAAATATTCACTAAGCTTGACCACTAGTTCCCAGTGTGGCAATATCACCCTAAAGGCAGCAAAAGCTGATTTGAAGTGAGCAGCAGGGTCACGGGAGGGGAGGGATTTTATTCTATGTAAAAAGCAAATGTAGTCATTTAGTACATAAACACATAATTTGTGGTACTAAAATTTCATGAAGGTGGTTATTAAGGGGAAAATGTCTAAAACTTTGTGGGAGGGAGATGAACCATAATAAAGAAAAACAAGTTGAGAGACACAAAGATGTTAAGCATGTTTTCACCCAGAAGCTTTTGGCAAGTGTTTTTCTTGGCTACCTTAAGAACCCAACGTAACCACTATGTACAAGTGATTCTAAGGAGGCTACCTGCTGAGTTCTACTTTTCTGACATACAAATAGACTTTTAGAATGGACTCAGTTGATAAAAGGAAGATGACCTATAAAAAGTGTAGCTCTCCCCATCATGTGGAAAGCTTGACATGAAAACATTCATAAAGTGCTTTATTGAATGTTCTGGAGACCCAGAGAAGAATAAGCATCAGGCTTTGGAGCAATATGGCACCATGGGCCCAGAGATTGTGTCTTATCTCTTCCTCTCCCTGCCCTTATGTTGGCAAGGTCAGGAGGCTTCACCAAATTTCATAATGGAGTTAAACTTGAGCTGTTCATTCAGTATTGTTGAGCACCTACTAAATGCTGAACACTCCAGTAAGGTCTAAAGATTGAGCTGTCTAATGTGATAGCTGTTAGTTGTATGTGGCTATTTCAGTTGAAATTAATTTAAATTAAAATTGAAATACAATTCCTATGGCACAGTAGCCACTTTTCAATTGCTCACTAGCCTTATGTAGTATGTGGCTACTTCGATGGATGGCACAAATACAGAGCATCTCCACATCCCAGGAAGTATCACTGGATAGCACCAGTCTAGAATTTTGCAGCACATGAATGAAACCACAGTGGCATAGTGGTTAAGAATATGGTCTTCGGGGTCAAACCAGGACTGGGATCCCAGCTTCACCACTGACCTCCCCAGCTTTATATTCATGGTGATTACTTAGCCTTTCTCAGCCACAACTTTCTCCTCTGTAAAGAGGATAATAATAATGCCTGTCTCTGAGGATTACAATGTGAATTAAAGAAGTTGACTGAGTAATATGCAGTCAGTATAGTGGCTTCTGCCATCATTATTATCATATTTTGTTATAATTATCATCATCATCATCATCATCACCATCATTGTTGGCAGGTGGGGTGTTCAGACCATCCAGACAGACATTCATAGTTATTAAGTTCTGAAATGTTCTATTATATAGGGTTTCAAAGGCTAGGCTGTTTTCCTTGTATATGTCCCTTCCCTCTATAGTGCTAGTCACCATATCCCCAAGAATGCATTATAAATCATCCAAGAGTCTGGATTTAGGGTGCTGCTCTGCCCCACAACCAATACTAATGACTGGAGAAGTAGAAGTGTAACTGTAAGAGCATAGATAAGTACAGAGTTTTCTGCTATATCCAGGAATACTGGAGGCATGAGATAGATGAGAGGAATGGGAAGTCAAGCCCTTACTAACAGTGACTACAAGATAGTTGCCGTGCTCCTGCTGAGAGGAGCTGATTGACTGCTCCAGGAGGTATTTGCCTAGATATTTCCACCAAGAAGCTCATTATTCTGAAGGCTTTTATTGCCAGCTGAGTCCTGAAGTACAATCGGAAGCACCAGCCCATGGCCAAATCATTAAGACAAATTAAGACATATTAACATATGCTGGAAACAATTACCCACATAGATTTAATTTGTTTCACTGCTGGAAGAAAGTCCTGAGAGGGTACCAAACACATACCATGGAATGGTTCCATAACTACCCTGTGAATCTGTCACTTATCAGCCCTTTAGGGGCTGGAACATGCTTAAATTGGACATCTACCAAAGAAGGACAGTATATCTGAAAATACATCTTTCATGAAGTCAGGATTACAGGTGCTTCTGTAGTTTACATAGGATTGTGTTAAAGTGATGAGTTTCTTGTTTCTTTTTAACCTACCCTTATTTTTGTAAATAATTATAATTGTCAAAATAATAGACTGAGGGGCTGGCAAGCCCAAGGCACTGAGTTTAATCCTTAGCACCACATAAATGTAAAATGAAGATACTGAGAATAAATATTTTAAATAAATAATAGACTGAACTCTAAAATGAAATAGGCACATTTTATAACCATATAGTATTAAAAATCATAAAATAACAAACATATTTACATTATTGTTTGCTGTTTATAAGAGAAATCTAAATTAAAAATGAGATTGTTGGTTCTTTTTGTGAATTGTGGCCTTCAGCTTATTATTGTTGTTCTTTGCATAAGTGTCATTTTTCAATGCCTTACTGTCAGGAAAGAAGTTCCCCTCAGCACACCAAATTCCATTTTTCCCAAACAAGGAGAATAGACTATCATCAAGGATATTCTAGGATGTGACTCTTGTAACATGCCTGTCATTTGTGATTGCGAAACCTTGTCCTGGAGGTTGCTGAATGGCCCTTTAACAACTTCCTGGGTAGCTGCTAAAGAGGCCAGGGCTCCCTCTCTTAAAATATTAACTTCCAGAAGAGTAATCAAACCCAAGGAATAGGGTGTGTAAAGTGAGAAATTACTTAGATCTGTCATCATAATGGTGATACTGTCCTTGCAAATTTTTCCTGTCACGTATGTACCATTACATGTGAGAAGCATAATCCCCCAGTCACTTAAAAGAAAGGGTAAGCCTTTTATAGTGGGAGGGGAAACCATAAAACTGTCTGAGCATCCTGTTAGCCATACAGGTTTACTACCTTTCCCTGGGGATTGCCTTGTGACAACCTCTTCTTTTTTCCTGTTACCCTGTACTTAGGGCTTTGCAAACAGTTATAGGAAAACTCATAAGTGTTGAAAATGCAAAATAACTTTCTATGATGATAATTTGACTCAAAAACATGATCTTCATTTTAGAACTTATATAGGTTAAAGTCTGAAATCTTAAATGACAGCTTGCTTTGGTTGTTTCTCAATTTTTCCCATCCCCCTCATAGAAGTCCATTTAGAGAGCATCATTTGACTTCATTTATACAAGCATTTTATTTATTTATTTTTATGTGGTGCTGAGGATTGAACCCAGTGCCTCACAGATGCTAGGCAAGTGCTCTACTACTGAGCCACAACTCTAGCGATACAAGCATTTTTGATGCAGGGCAAAGGTTTCTAGCAAGCAGAGATATATGCCTTCCACCTCTAATATAGCTGTCCTTGGCATTCCAGAAACCCCCCTTAAATTTAGGCAACACTCCTCTTGGTATCCCAAGACTATTTGAAACTAGATCCAATGATGTGGCCATAAGTCTCTTAAATCACCTGTGCCTTTGGAAACAGAACCTGTGCCTTTTTCAAACAGAAATTTTAAGGCATCTCATAAAGTTGCTCAACTAGAAGCAATTTGAAAATCATGAAAAGAGGAAGGAAATATGTTAGGAAGGGTGGATAATGAAATTACCAAGAATTATTATTGAATCAGGTTCTGAGACAGTCTAAAGACCTAGCAATAAGTGAATGATGATTTAGTACATTAGGATCAGGGAGATTATGTAGCCATTAAAATTATCAATAGGGTAAGTTTGTAACAATGAGAGAGAATGCTTATAATACAAACTTAAGAAGACAGTGGGTTAAAAACATCAAGGAAAAAAATATTGGAGAAAAACTCACTGGCTTATTAACTGTGGTTGGTTAGATAAAGTCTTTTATTTTCATCTTTATTTTTGTTCTAGTTAATTGTAATGAATATGGAATCCTTTTATAATCACACATAAATGTTACTTTTTTACTTGAATGAGCTTCCTGACAGAAAAGACAGACGTAAAAACAATCATGACACCCATGATTTTTATTAAGCGACAAAGAGTACTATCTCAGTTCTTCAAGATAAATTGTTACCTTAGTACAGAATTCCAGGAAAGTTTTATCAGTTTATCATAAAGGATATTGAGTGACATAATATGCAAATCCTGGTAAGATTCTTAGAGCACTTGCAGAAGCAATTACTCCTTGTAATTGCTTCATGACTGCCCTCAAGAACAACAGAGACCAAAGTGGTTAGCCTGCCCGGGTCTCTATTTCTTAATTTTTAGCTTGGGAATTTTTAAGTGCTTCTTTTGCCCATTGTGTCTTATCCAAACGGTGTGAGATGGGCCTCTCAGCTCCTCATTTCACACCCTAAGAATTGAATCACCAATCCTGGAATTCTGTCTTTTTTGGGGGGTGGGGGGTATTACTGGGGATTGAACTCAGGGCCACTCAACCACTGAGCCACATGCCCAGCCCTATTTTGTAATTTATTTAGAGACAGAGTCTCAGAGAGTTGTTTAGCGCCTCACCTTTTGCTGAGGCTGTCTTTGAACTCATGATCCTTCTGTCTCAGCCTCCGGAGTTGCTGGGATTATAGGCCCAGCTGGAATTCTGTCTCTTAAAAATGAATGAATTTGACCTTTCCCTCCTCTCCTTCCAGGTGTTGCTGCACTGGACTCCAGTGTATCTGGAAAAATTGGACTGCGTGCTGTAGTATATTATTTCTGTACCACCATCATTGCTGTAATTCTAGGTAATATTTATTTCTGAATCCTTATTCCCCTATACAATTGTGACTTTTCATCCAAAAAGTAGTTGGAGTGTTAAAAATGAGGATTATTTTAAATCAGAAAGTAATATGTCGAACTACCCTAGAACTTTTTGCTTTGAAGTCTACATTGCACCTGTTATGTGAAGGCAATGCAATGCTGACATAATTTTAGACATGGTACTGCTTATTAGAGTCTCTACTAAGAAAAAGGAAGTGGATGACAGTTCCATACCTTATCAGAGTCATTGGTTGAAGAAAGTGAAGCCAAGAGCTTATGTAATCTTAAACTGGATAATTAATCTATAATAGTGGCACTGAGTATAATGATACATATTTCCAGAAAGGTAGGACTTCAGTGCATTTCACATTTTACCAAATGCTAACAGCTAACAGTATTGATTGCTAAGTATAAATCCCACTTGTACGAGGAAGAAAGAGAAAGTTTTAATAAAGGAAGAGCTATTCTTGTAGCTTCAAGATCTTTTATGACCTAGCATGACATTTTAAGAAGGGTGCCCAGAGTGGGAAGAAAGGAAGGAAATGTTCTCAGATGTTGCAGCCAGCCTGATCCTTGCAGCCCTCATTCAGTGAATGGGTAAGAGGTGGGATATGGTGAAATTTTAGTGGTATTAGGCTGAGGGGCTTAGGAGGGCCTGAGCCCAGCCCTAAACCAAAGTTGTATCGCTTTAAGGGGATCCAGCACAAAGAAAAAATAGCAGAGAAAAAGCAAGATATTGCCTTATAATTAACTGGGTATATATCCCTTCTGCAGCCCTGACAGGGGAAAGTGGGCCATAAAGAAAAGATCCACAGCCCTTTTACTGCCCAGCGACTGGTCCTACAAGCAAAACTGACCCATTCTACACTCCAAAGTCCCCTTAGTACTTCCTCCTCTTGGGAAAGGAGCAAGAAAGGCATGGAAATATCTTTTCTTCCTCTCTGTCTTTTAGTCAAACATCCCTCAATGCCTTGGCCTCTTCTACAACCTCCCATTTCTGCTAGACACTTTGAGAGACAGAAACCCATTATTTCCAGAGATCACAATGGTGCTTTTAGATGACCTAGCACGCAGACAGGTCTTCCTTACAGCATGAAGCACCTTCCCTCCCTGCAGTTCCTGTCTATCTATTCTCCATTCCACTCCTGAAGGACACTCGCCCACAATACAGCATTCTAGCTCTTCCAAGGCCTTTGGTAAAGAAGATAGACAAGACAAAGCTTGTTCTGTATGACCTGCAGAATGACCAGCGTCTGTGGGCTAAATTAAGAAAGATATCAACAGGTTCCCTGTACTAGGAAATGAAGTACCTTCACCCGCACACCTGCCTAGGTTGATCTCATGAATTGAAGAAAAGAAAAGAATTCTCATCAATAGGTATTTCCAGAAGTAATTCTTAGATGCTTAAAGGGGGTGGGGCGCAGAATTCCTTCTGCTTATGAATTTCAATGGGGAAGTAATTAAGGAAGCCAGAATGTCTCAGCATTTGGTTAATTTCAGGTCTCCTCATTACAGTGTGAGAAGAATGCACCAGGATGCCAAATGTTCTGGAAGGTTCTTTATTTTTTATTTTCACATTTTTGGTACCAGGGATTAAACCCAGAGGCACTTAACCACTGAGCTACATCCCCAGCCCTTTTTATTTTTATTTTGACACAAGGTCTGACTTAAGTTGCTTTGGGACTTGTTAAGTTCCTGAGGCAGGCTTTGAACTTGTGATCCTCCTGCCTCTGCTTCTCAAGTTACAGGAATTACAGGCGTATGCCACCACACATGGCCTGGAAGTTTTTTAATGCACTGTGGATACTGTCCTTGATCATAGGTATTGTGCTGGTGGTAAGCATCAAGCCTGGTGTCACCCAGAAGGTGTCTGAAATCGACAGGATGGGGAGCACCCCGGAAGTCAGTACAGTAGATGCCATGTTAGACCTGATCAGGTGAGAGTCTTAGCTTCCTGGTTGTGCCAGCTGTGTAGTTACAGGAGGCCAAGGCCATGTGCATGCTTTAATGCTCTTCTATCTTGACATTTTTAGTAATTTTTAAAATTATTATGCATCTTCATTTTACCTTGGACCCCACAAATTACATGGCAAGTAATTACTGCTTGCTGGTCATGGTTCCAAGAGGATTAGAAGCAACAGTGTCCTCTGTAATGATTTAGGATGGACAGAGATGCAGAAAGTATCTTTATTGTATAAAGATGTCGGACTGGGTTGTATGGTCAGTCCGTAGCACTCTTGGAGATACACATTGTTTTTAATTGTAGGGAGAAAACCTCACACTTGAAAAAATACATTTTTTTTAACTGTACAGGAAAAATCCTCTTATCTAAAACAGAGCCAGAAATAGGTTTGTCGACTTAAAGTAGCAATTAAATCAGAGACTCACAAAAGGTGTTCTAGGAGAGCTGGGTGTGACACTGTGATAAAAGTATTTGTCTAGCATGCACAAGGCCATGGGTTCAATCCCCAGCAACATCCCCCCCCACACACACACACAAAAAGTTATAGGAGCTGTATTACATATTTTTTCCTACCTAAAAATTAAAAGCATTTATTCACCAATTTTCTTGATATAGGGTCACAGTCTTTGTTTCAATGTATCACTTCATTGTGTTTTCATAATTTCTGTTGCATATGGTTCCCTTATAAATGCATCTTTTACAATTTCCAGGTTGAGTTTCTGTAGAGTGAAGCAACCCAAACCCTTCAAAATTGCAAAGAAAGTCAAGTGCCAAATCCTTCCACTTTTTCTTTTTATTTAAGTTGTCTCCTCATATCAAATTTAATAGTGAAAATTTTAGTCATTGGCCTCTATTGAGATTCCAGGCATTCAGCTTGGTTTTTAATATAAACCACGCTGTCTTTTTCACAGCCATATTTCAATGCTTTAACATTTAATTCAATAATTACAATAATATTTGCAATTGGCATAAAGAATTTGGGAACAGATTATTAGTAGAAATATTGTCTCATGTATGAAAACTGAAATGTGCAGAAAATTAAAGAATTGTCTCTCAACTATAAGTGTCTACCTGCCAGCTTTTCACTGGGCTCAGCAACTGTAGTTACTCAGTGAACTGGTTAAGTGACGTTTGATTAGGAGAACATTCTATACTCAGTTAAGGCTCGGCAAACAAGAAAGAAATCTTATTACAAGGAAGTGTTTTTCAAAACAGAGACCAGAGGAGAAATCAGAGTACTCATTCTATATTACACTCATTTTTTATCAATGTATTTGAGTATGATAAAAAAAAAAACACTTTTTTGCCATCCTATAATACTGCTTTTCATGTCTCCAACAGGAATATGTTCCCTGAGAACCTTGTCCAAGCCTGTTTTCAGCAGGTAATATTAATGTCTTTTACCCTTGAGTTTCTCTCTTCTTCCCATTACCAGTTAATGTATATTTTTTCCTTCTATGACCCAAGAAATGGAAGTAATCCCATCAAACCTGGCAGTGGGCAGTGCACCTGTGAATGAAGAGTTTCAGTGGCTTTTCTGTTTTGTATCCTTGCTTTCAAACCAACAGTCAAATGCATGTCATAATTTACACTGCTTCCTTTTCCCGAATGCAGTTTCCCTCAAAAGGGCTCAAATGGAGCAATTAGTAATCTGTCAAACAATGAGTGGCTTAAAATGTGGCCTTCAGTACCTATTCTGGAGAATCATGTTACATTTGTAAAGAAATTTGGACTGTCTGTTGATGCAGTGCAATGGTTAGAAAAAGAGCTTTCTATCTCCTCTTTCTTGCTGCTCTGGTGTTGGCAATCTGTATCTAACACACATGACATAACTAGCATTCCTGAGATTATTTCTTTCCTTTAACCATTATATGTCCATTGCCCATACTCTGAAGAGCAATGTAACAAAGCCATAGGGGTTTTTTTACGCCCCCCCCCCCAGGAAAGTTTGACATCTCTTCACTCCACGGACAAGTCTTTTTCTTCCATTTGTCAAGACAGCTGAGTCTATCACAAACTGCTGTATTCATTTACATAAATTACATGAACAGAAACTTCTGTGTATACCAACAAAAATGGCAATTATATTGCTCCCTGCCAACCTCCATGGGGCACAGAACCACCTCTATTTCAGGGGTGCCTTTGCAGATCAGCCACAGTGGTCATTTGTAAGGTTCTCAGTGTTGGCAGAGCCCTGTAGGAGGGACATTTGCGCCTGGTGTAATAATATACTAGCTCTTTCTTAAACCTCTGTGTCAAAGCTCCACAGATCCAAACAGAACTGAAGGAAACAGAAATCTCACTCACTGACTAGCCCTAAAGGGACTGTTGATTTGGATGCAACCATCTTGTTAAAACTTTCTGGATATTTATTAAAGTCCTGGGGACAACTTTTACCAAAGTGATGAGGTATTTTTTTTCCAATTAAAAAAATTAATTAATAAAAGCAAAAGTGATAGGAATCCCTATTGGGTCTTTCTGTGAAAGTGCCTGTGGAGAAAACATCCTTTCTTTCACATTATTTCTCCATTGACTTTGTCCTTATTATGAAAGTGAAAGAACGTTCTGACATTATTGAATGGTGGTGTGGGAGTCAGGGATTTGGATTTCTCAATCCATTTTTAGTTATAAAACCTCATGGGTAGTTTTATCAAAAACTAGAAGCAACAGAGGCACTGAAGGTAGAACTCTTTGGAGGTACTTGTTTGGCAAAAATAACTTATTCCTATGGTGTAGCATCAAAGATGCTAAAAATCTTATTTGTTTGCTTGTCTTTGTTTTTCTCCAATATGCAGTACAAAACCAAGCGTGAAGAAGTAAAGCCCCCCAGTGATTCCCGGAGGAACATGACAGAGGAGCCTGTCACCACCATGATGTCCACAGTTTCCGAGGTACCATCCATTCTGTCACCTGCTCCCCCCCCCCCGTAGGCAGATGCCACTCATGAGTGAGCAGAAGATGAAAGATAGTGAGTCTTTGTTATTCACAGAATCCACATTTGTGAATTCTCCTTCTTGCAAACTTACTTGTGACCCCCAAATCAATATTCATGGCACATTCATAGTCATTGGCAAAAAGCAGCACAAAATTTGAGTTGTCCACTGTGCATGTTCCCAGGTGAGGCTGGACTAGGCTGGACCTGCCTACTTTTGGCTCTCACTCTGTAAGCAAACGACCATCTTGTGATGCATTTAGTGCCATTTTTTTCCATTTTTGTGCTTTTTCATGGTGATTTCACTATTTAATGTGAACAGAAACAAAGTACTAAAGTAATCTTTAAGGTTCCTGTGATGTGCCTTAAGGAGAAAATATGTTTGTTAAAGAATCTTCATTCAGGCAGGGGTAATAGTGCTGTTGGTCATGAGTTCAATGTCAGTGAATCAGCAGTATATATTAAATGAGATGTTTTTAAACAGAAACACGCATAAAAGTGTCACCTATTGATTGTTTGATGTGACTAGTAGCAATCATTCAGCATTTGCTAACTCAGTATGTTGGTGGGTGGGGACTATACTACATAAAAACTAATAAGAACAATGGAAAAGAATGAGGCTTGTTGCCACTGAATTTTTGCCACTTTTTACAATTGAGTACCTTGAGGACTGATTTAGTTTTACAAAGCTATACAAACACAGAACACAGGCCCACAGTTCCATGTCCAAATCTTTCTGCCCAGAAATGATTCTAATTCCAAAGCTCTTAAGACTTTAGAAGGATCATACAATATATACACTGTGCAATAAGTAACATCTGTAAGTGAGATTGCAGCAACACTCCAGAGAATCAAACATCATCAATATTTCTGTAACAAACACATGGATACTCTGTAAAGTTAGAGAAACAGAGTATCAGTAGCGTCATCTCTGTTCAGAATAAGTTTTGTCACCCAAAGAGTTTTCCATAAACTTACCAAGAAGATCAATGGACTTTAAGATCTTTAGGGATTTCAGAACTGGAATGCATGGTCCTGAATTGATACCTTTGTAGGCCTCTAATAGACATCTCCTGAATGTCCTCTGCCTTCACATAAAAAGGAAAGATTTAAGGAAAAGAGAAATATTCCATATATTTAAGAATTCAAATTAAATAGACAACAGACAGCTCCTTGCTTCCTGCTTCAGAAAGCCTTAGCTTCTTGGGCTTTGGGTAGAGGGCCTCCATGACCTGACTTCTCTGGAGTCTTCCTAGCTTTCTTTCCAACAGCCCCCTCTCTTCTATCCAGATCTGCCTCCTCACTTACCCCTTATTCCTGCCTTTTGATGTGCTTCCAAAGTATTTTTCTGAGCACCTTCCATATGCCAGGCCCTGCTGGGCCCTGGGATTATAATAGTAAAAAGACAGATACTGCATCTGTCCTCATGTGAAGAGTAGTGGATATTACAATGGAGAAGAACTAGGTCTTTTAGAGCCATCCAACAGAGAGGTTAAAGTTAGGGTGGCAGCCATAGGAACAGATATGTAAGAATTATTATCCAAGCAAGTTACAGAGGCCCATATGCCATGATTTTTGCCTTTGTGTACCATTTTTCTGGAACATACCTTGTCTCCTGGCTGTCTATTCCTCAAACTTAGCTTTCCCTAACCTCAAAGTCCTCATTCATGTCCCAGTCTCTGTATGATGCTTGTAACTCATAGCTTGGCTGTGTCATTAATTACACACCATTTTGCTGTTGGCTCATGTTTCTCACAGTTGGTCTCATCTTTCCAGCTGAATTTTAAGACCTTGCGCTATAGCCAATACAGTTAGAACACTCTAGCTGCTCCATAAATATTTGTTTCATCATAAATAAGAAATGACTGATACCCCAGTGGCTTGTTAACCTAATTCTTTATCACCCTGGTTTGCACTACAGTCAGATTATATTTTCTCTCAGTGAATCTCAGGCTATTTTTACTCAGGATAAATTAAAGAAATGGCTCATTGTCGTAGGTATCTGGCTAATTTTATATCTATCTCTAAAATCTTGTTGGTCATACAAGAACAGAGGCAGTGAAAAATGTTCCTGTACTTCATTATCAGGATAAAACAGATGGTAGTTTGTGCTTCCTGTGTTATTAAGTCCGGTTTTTCTTTAAAAACGAACTCCAAATGTTGCTAGTAGTTTAAATAACCCCGAAAAGTGCCCTGATTCTAAAATTTATAATAAAAATTGAAAAAAAATTAGAATTATAAATCTTCAAAAGAAAGATTCAAATATGGACTTGTTAAGAAAAGGGGAGCGGTGCTGGGACTGTAGCTCAGTGGTAGAGCGCCCACCCCATACGTGTGAGGCACTGGGTTTTATCCTCAGCACCACATAAAAAAATAAATAAATAAAAGACAAAGCTAAATATTCAGGCTTTAATATTAAAAAAAAGAAAAAGAAAAGAGGGGACTTTAAATTTCAATGGAGGGGATTTGATACTTGCATAAGGTTTTTAATAATTATTATATTTTCTAAAGTATTATTGACTCTAATAGATCACTGTGATTATCATCATGTATCAATATATTTTCTTTGTTTTGATCCACAGAACAAAACAAAGGAATACAGAATTGTGGGCATGTATTCAGATGGCATAAATGTTCTAGGCTTGATTATCTTTTGCCTCGTTTTCGGACTTGTCATTGGAAAAATGGGAGAAAAGGGACAGATTCTGGTGGATTTCTTCAACGCCTTGAGTGACGCAACCATGAAAATTGTTCAGATCATTATGTGGTGAGCAGACACTATTTGAGACCATTTTGCTTCCCCTAAAGACTCTGTATCCTCAAAATTAGAAAGATGAGGCTTATGTTCCTCAACTGATCTCCTCCTGGAGATGGAGACATTAGAAATCAAGACACTAGAGTATGAAATAGCTCCATATACTTCTCAGTAGGTAGTTCATTAATAAATGTCTAGCTATCAGCCACTGTCTTTTCCCTCAAAGTCCTGGCAGGTCATCTTGCACCCAGCCAACACTCAGGTCAGAAGTGCTCCTAAAGGGATGATCTGGAAGAGCTCCTCGCAGATCAGAACAGAGAGTGCTTTCCTTCTTAGGCCCCATGCAGAAGTGAGGTTCAAAATATCAAAAATGCTATAGCAGGGCCACTAGCTCACTCAAAGGAAAACTGCCATTTGAGCATCCCAGAGACACCACCTAAGTATCCGCCCTGTCACTGAGATGCCAGAAAGTCCACATTTCCTGGGAGATCTCTGCCTCACGTATCTCACATGGAATTGGTTCAACGTTATTTAACCCAAAAGGACATTGACAGTGATGTAAAGTATTCAGTAATAACAGACAGGCAAGCCACTTAATCCTGTAAAACCCTCAGCTTTATTATCTCTTTAAAAAAAAAAAGTAATAAAACCTAACCCCAGGGTTGGAAGAACATTAAGTGAGATGATGCATGTAAAATACTTTCCCCAACACAAGATCTAATGAGAGCTCCACAAATAGACATATGGTCACCACTTCCACTGTTATTACTGTTGCTTCAATTGCTGGCACCTGAGAAATGAGATGCCATGGCTAGAAAGAGCTTAGCATCCTTATTTTGTAGGGATGAGTGGAGCTCAAGTGAGCTAAGCAGATGTGACAATCAGTAGGATGTGGGGGTGTATATGGTATGGGGTATGCACCAATCTCACTGCATATTTATGTCATATTTGCAAAATACCCTTGTAGTAGTTTGGGTGGGTAGAGTGCAAGGTGCTTGCTTGCTTGCAGGTACTGGAAACTAGAGCCATTAGTCTGCCAGGACTTGAAGATGAGGGCTTGCTGTCCTGCAACCATGTTTTCTGTACTTCCAGTTGTAAGCTAGGGTACATGCACTGGCTTGTTTCCTCCCCAATAATCCCAGCCTGAGCAAACCCCAGTGATGGAATTGGGTCTTTGTTGTGCTTACTTTCTAGTTACATGCCACTTGGTATTTTGTTCCTGATTGCTGGGAAGATCATAGAAGTTGAAGACTGGGAAATATTCCGCAAGCTGGGTCTTTACATGGCTACTGTCCTGAGTGGGTATGTCTGATTCAAGAGAAAAAAAACAGAACCTTCAACTGGGTTCAATAGGATTGCTGCAGAGAGACTGGGGTTTGGTTGGTTAAGGTCGGCTTCTCTCATAAGTACAGGAAAAGATAGTTTAGAGATAAGAGAGCAGTGAGCAGGGCTGCCCTTTAACAGCTGTACTGTAGGTGGATCACACTGTGCTAATTGCCAGCTTTTGGCAGAACAGCCTGGACCAGGCTTTACCACTGCCTTTATTGGTTGTGTTTAAATCATTTTTAAAACAAGAGAGAAACCCACTCTAGCCTCTTTTGGCTGTCTCCTGCCCTTTACTTTCTCAAGAACATAAACTAACCGAGCAGGTAGGAATTGCCCCCCACAATTACCCTGAAGTGGAAAGAAATTAAGAAGGGCCTAAATGAAATTAAATCAGAGCAAGTAGGAGCAGGAGAACAGGTTGATTCAAATGCTGTCACTGGGGCTGGTAGCTACTCCCTGCCCTAAGTCCTCAGTGTGTTGGGGATGGTGATGGGGAAATCGTCAGGCTAGTTGGAATCATGTGGGGCTTTTTAGAAGCCACAGATAGGAAGGGAGTGGGGATATTGGTATGGTTCCTTGAGAAGAAATGCAGTGGGGTAGATTACAGAGGGTGCCCCCAGACACCCATCCAAGAGCAAGATACTTCATCTATGCTAAAACATATGGAGCAAGGGAATGAGGAAACGACATTGATTTGACTCTCACTGGTCAAACACCCAACTTGAGGAATTGGCTCACCTTTTGGAACTCAATTGCCTTGGGGTTTCCATTGCATAGCTTTTGGTTCATAATCTGTGTTTGCCAAAAGCACAGCCCTGTCAGCTAACACAGAAGCAGCCTGGGTTCCTATAGTGTGGGGATCAGCATCAAATCTCCAGGCCACAGAGGTCAGGGAGGCAGGGCCTTAGCCTCACCAGAGGCCAGCCCTGCTCTGGGACCGCTGAAACATGCAGGACCAGGATCAAAGTCTTGGCAGTGATGTGACTGAGGCTTGTGACACTAAGCCGTTTCTTAATGGAGTTATGCTGGTTTCTTTTCTCTTGCCTTCTCTAGGCTTCTAACAGAAAACTAAAAGTCCTAGCTAAGAATTCACAGTTCTTAGGTACAAGCTCTGTATTGAGAAGACCCTCTCTCCAAACTTCCAAGATTGGTATTTGCAGTGCCCGTTCCTTATCATTTCAACCTTGTATAGCTGATCTGTAAATTCTTAGACATGCATGCCGTCCATCAAATAAGTCTCATTTCTTAAGCCCCCTATTTTGTGTACACTATTTATTTCCTTGTAAAATAAGGTACAATTTGAGAAGATAAGGCTAGTAAAGGGGGCCAGTCCAAAAGTACAATTGTGGAAGAAGAGGGACTTTTTCCTTATAGCCACTCTGAATGCCCTCTTACACAGTGAATACCATCCAGCAAAATAACTGCAGGGCCCAGGGGACAGAGAAGGTAAAGACTGTGACAAGGGCTATAATGAGGTATCACGGTAGGGGATAAAGAGAGTGCCAAGTAAGAAAGGGTCAGCTCTTCCTGGGAAAGTAACTGAATGTTTCCTGAAGGAGGGGGAAATTTAGCTGAGTCTTAGAGAAGTCATAATTCAAAACCAGGAATCACACAGACAGGAGCATTTCAGCATGATATAACTCTGTTCTGTGAGCTCTGAAATTTATATTCGGCTACTGAATTTGTCATTAACTTTGACCAGATGCTTCATTTACTGAATAGGCCCCTACATCCTCATCTGCAGCATGGGAACATATATTTCCTAGGCAACTTCTCATTTTCTCATTGGGTCTTTAGGAAAACTGAACAACGTCATACTTTTTAAAAACTGTTTGAAGAAAGAGTGAAGTATGAAACTTTTCCCTCTTGTTTACAGGCTTGCCATCCACTCCATTGTAATTCTCCCACTGATATATTTCATAGTCGTCCGGAAGAACCCTTTCCGATTTGCCATGGGCATGGCCCAGGCTCTCCTGACAGCTCTCATGATCTCTTCCAGGTAACTATAAGAGGTTTCTGGAAGAAGCCTCAGGCCACCCTTTGTCAGCTCAACCCTCACTTGATGGTACAGACTCCAGCCTGTGTTTTTTGTACCTACCTTTGAATTGAGAGTTGACTTTCATATTCTCTGCCCCATCCTCAGCATATTTCTTCACACTGTTGAATATCTCCTGCCCTCAGCATGGCCTGCAGCCAGGGAGGATCATCACCTTCTGATCCCTGAACTGGCCACAAGTATCAACGTGTTTGGGGTCCTTTGTTTACTTTTGTGGAAGGGATGTGTCTTTTCAGGTGGGGACCATAAGTTCTTTTCTCTCTATATCACACAGTTCAGCCACACTGCCCGTCACCTTCCGCTGTGCCGAAGAAAAAAACCAGGTGGACAAGAGGATCACTAGATTTGTGTTGCCCGTTGGTGCCACAATCAACATGGATGGGACTGCACTCTACGAAGCAGTGGCTGCTGTGTTTATTGCGCAGTTGAATGACTTAGACTTGGGCATTGGACAGATCATCACTATCAGGTGGGGCCTGGTGTCACTCTTTTGAATCACTGTTATAGGAATTGCCTCAAGTAAAATAGTCTAAGAAGGGAGATCAAGAATGGCCCAGTGAAGTTTTTTCTTGGCCTACCCAAGTTTCTTCCCAAGATGAAGTATTAGTAGTGGACTTGTGGTCTACAAGATTTCTGTTTCAGGGTCTGGCTATCCAGAGCATCACTCTGTGCTCAGTTAAGAGTAGGCACAGAGGGGGCACCAAAGACTAAAGGTTGAATAAAGTCTAGTCCCTGCTTTCTAAGGGCCCTTGGTGGATGGGGAATAGGTAACCAAGTGAGCGCTGATATCTGCGATAGCAGCTATCCAGAACTTACTGTGGTGGTCACAGAGGGTACCAAAGAAAGAAGGATCAGCTCTACCTGGGAAGGTGGGGGAAGGCTTCCTGGAAGAGTGGGAAATGTAGCTGAATATGAGATGAGGAGTAAGAATTTAGGTGAAGAAAGACACTTTAGAGCTTTGGGTAGCAAAAATAGTTTATTCAGGGATTGTGATATAGCCATGACCTAGTTACAGAGTACAGATTATTTGGTGTGGCTGACATAAGGAGTATAACATGAAAAACATGAAAGGATGAGGAGAAAGGGGTCATCTGATGAAAGGCTTTGTATGGGATGCTCATAGAAGGGTCTTAGATCGTTTATAATATTATGAACAGATTTGCATTTTAGATAGGTAACTGGCAATGCAGTGGATGGATTGAATGGAGACAGGGACCCCAAGCTAGAAGACCAGTCAGAGGCCATTTGGAATGGTCTAGGTAAGGTCTTAAAAAGCCTACAACAAGGCACTGAGTACACTGGGGATGGAAAAGAGCTAATAAATTGAAGAGTTATCAATTGGATTCAGAGGGAGGAACAGAGGAAGACTAGTATGACTCCCAGGTTTGATGGATGGTTCTGGATTGATGGATGGGGCTTATCATAACAGGGACTAGCATGAGAGAAACAAGAATAAGGAGAAAATAAAGAGTTTATATTTTTGACACATTGAATTTGAAAGCCTTTAAGATTTTCAGGAAATATACAGTGAGAAATGCAGGTCTGGATTGAGAAATGGAAGTCAGGGCCATCATCTTAATGGTGGTCATCAAACAAGTAGGTCACAGGTCAGGTGTCTGTTCAGATCTCAGCGACACTATGATTAATTGTGACCTCAGGCAAAAGACTTGATTTCTCTAAGCTTTCTTGTTTTCTCACCTGTAAAATGATAATAATAGTGCCTACAATTTATTCAAGTAGTAATGATGAAGTAGGATGACGCATATAAAATGCTTAGTGCCTACACAGGGAGCACATAAATGTTAGGAACGGAAGGCATTACATAGGGAGAGTTTATAGAGAAGACAAAGGGCTGAGCCTTGGAAAATTCTAATATTAGAGGCAGACAAAAAAAGGGAGAATTCAAGAGAGAGAGTGGGAAGGAACAGAGTGATAGGAGAGAGCCAAGAATCATGTTATCATGAAAACCCAAAGAAGATTTTTCAAGGTTGAAAATGATTCACAGAGTCAGATGCTAAAGAGAATTCTCACCGAATGAGGACCAAAATAGTCTGTCAGCTCAATCAGGTAGTAGAAATGTCATTAGTAAATCTTGCCTGAGTTGTTTCTTTAGGACAGTACTAACCAATATGGTTGTTACCAGTCACGTGTGGCCAATGGCTGACTGAATTAAATAGCACAGCTGTATTACAATTCCATCACTGCCAAAAGTTCTTTTGGACAGCACTATGTCGGAGCGGAGCGACAGGCTTGGATTAGAGGTAACTTTTAGTTCAGTTTCTAATATGAAACTTAGTCCCTAGGCCCACTCAGGATTGACTCTCAACCTTTTAGAGTTAATTAACTGTTGTGTCCACAGCATAGACATAAATTCTGGGGATAAGGAGTTCATTAACTGACAATGTTCTAATATAGTACATTTTTAAAAAATCCCTCCTCAACCCTATAAACTATTGCTATTTGCCTGAAATTCACTGAAAACAAGTGCAAAATGTATCATTTGGAGGGGCTTGGATTGTGGCTCAGTGGAAGAGTGCTCTCCTAGCACAGGTGAGGCACAGGGTTTAATCCTCAGCACCACATAAAATAAATAAACAAAAATAAAGGCATCGTGTCCACCTACAACTAAAAAAATACTAAAATATATATATCATTTAGCACATCAGCTGGTGGGAGTAGGAGGTAGTATACAAATGCTGCATAATCTATGAAGTGTGAGTGGCTAAATAAGCCTGTGCCAGGGGCCGAGGTTGTAGCTCAGTGGTGGAGTGCTTGTCTAGCACATGTGAAGGCCATCTTAAAAAAAAAAAAAAAAAAAAAAAAAAAAAAAAAAAATTAAAAAAAGAAGGTTGTGCCAAAAGAGCTTCAGTAAAGTCCTGTACTTACAACAGCAGAGACTCTGTTAAATTAAGATCTTCAATCATGCCGGAGAAAGTTCTTGCTCTACACCTGCCCCCTGTGCTTCAGCAGTTGCTGCTTTTACATTTCCAAGTGTTTTTCTCCATCTCCCTCAGCCTGGCCTGGGGAATCAAGAGTTTGCACTAAACGGCTCCAACGAGTAGTTGTATGAGGTGGTGGCTCTCAAGTGTACTGGCCACTTTTTGATGAATCCCCTCCCTCTTCCTTAGTCATACATTTTATAGATCTTTCTAACATTTTTTTAAAAACCTGACTGCTAGAGGAATCAACTGTGGGCCTAAGAAGCTGAACTAGCAAAATCACACTAAAACCTCCCTCCCTGTTCTGGCAAATCTTGCTGATAACTAGTGTCTCAGAACCATAACAACTGTGAAGTCCAAAGTAATCATTGACTTAAAAAGTCCTCTCTGGCTCTACCTGGCAAATAAAAGTTAGCTTTAACTTTATAGGTTACAGTTATAGCTCACATGGCTAATGGTTAAAAACTTTTAGACCCATACCTAGTACATTTCTTTTTGTGGGATGAACATCAAATATCATAGATACCATCGTTTTGTGGTATCTTTTTATCTAATATTCACTTATCACAGGCTATAACTGATTGAAAATAGGATAAATTATCTTATAAAAGCAGATAATTACAGGATTGGGGGCCTAGAAGGGCTCAGAAGAAAAAAGTACCAATAGTAGTAGTTGTGTTCGCTATAATAGCACAGGTGGAATATCCTTTGTCAAAACTGCTTGGGACCAGAAGTGTTTGGGATTTGGGAGTTTGAAATATTTTCATATACATAACGAGATAGCTTAGGAGTAAACCAGTGTCCAAACACAAACTTCATTGAAGTTTCATGTATACCTTATAAATATTCACAGTATTTTTTTTTTGTGCCTGTGTTTTGAATGTAACCCCTCATATGAGATCAGGTGTGGAATTTTCTACTTGTGGCATTGTGTCAGTGATCAAATGAAGTTTCACATCCTGGAGCATTTGGATGTTGGATTTTTCAGATTAGGGATGCTCAACCTTTGTTTTTTGCTTGTCGTCATAGTGACATTATTATTAGTGCTAGCAGTGGCAACAACAGAGGCTGAAAAATTAGCAGCAGAAATGGCATGTTATAAATCTACTATCCCAGATGATTTGCCTGGATTCATCTTCAGAGCAGCATCATAATACTGTCAAGGAATTTAGATTCAGAGAAGTAACCTGCCCATGAAAACTGTGAGTAAAATGGCAGAGCCAGAAGTATAACCCAGGTGTGTCTGATTCCCAAACCTTCATTCACTACAATTCACACCCAACCTGCAATCATGTTGGACTGAGTTAAAAATGGCCTGTCCTTAAAACTAAACCTCGGTGCTAGGAAAGAACTTTGTACCTTAGAGAATGAAAGAAGTCCTCTCAGCCAAAGTAGTATATGTTCAAATAGCAGGAATAGGATTTTATATTTTTCCTGCTTATAGTTATGTATAGTTCCAAATTTCAGAACAAAGCCAGTCAGACTGCTGACGTTTAGCAAACAACATGAAGGCTCAAGGGCAGAGTTTTCTTTGGCTCAGTGGATTTTGAGTTTCCAGTCCAGGCTATAGGGACTTGGTTAACAATAACATGTTGAGGCTTCCAAGAGGGATCAGAGGGTCTGGGCACAAATCACTTCTGACAAAGAAAACCCATTGATTCATTCAATTCAACCAGCGTTGAAATAAAATTGGGTTTTCCAAAGAGTACTTAGGTCAGAACAGATCTAAAGAATTATGCAAAGCTTGAAACTTTTAGAGAAATTGGTACAGCCCCACAAATTGGGGGCCATAGCCACTGAGGGAATAACATAATCATCAAAAAACTCTGGACTGCATTTAACCACTCCTTAAACCCTGACAGCTTATCACTAGGCAGATGAATGGGCAGTAGAATCAGTTGCCTAAGAGCTGAGACTTTAGAGCTCACTTGAATATGGGTTTGTAGATTAAATTAGGGATTCTTCTGATTTAAATTGCAGTTCCTATATTTTTATCTTTCCACCCAGTGACTTCTTGGCAGCAGTTAATTGGCCCAAGGGCAAGACCATGTCTCCAGAAAGTGTTGTGGCTGTGCGCTCATGCTCATCCAAACCAAGGGACTTTTCAGGGCATGGTGAGCCTTGATTTCCTCCACAGTGATCCAATTAAAATATGAAAGATGCTGCTGATTTAAAACTGCACATTCTGAAGAGAAAAACCCCTACTACCACATATATTCCCAGGAGAGATCTTTTAAAACACATAGTAATAAAGTTCATTTTGCTGCCTTTTCTGGATTCCAGATCTCGCTTCTCTTGCACAAAGAGCATCCACTGGCAAAAGGAGCAGTCAGGAATAAATTCTTGTACTTTGGACAGGAGTCTTGGTCTTTCTCAATTCAGTGCCCTGAAACCTCTGAGAGACAAGAATCTTGTGATGTCCATTAAGTGCATAAAACCTGCTTAACAATTGCTCATTCCTTTGCTGCACTCAAAATGCCTTTGTCCATCTACCCTGCCACTACCTGTACTAATCCTTCAAGGCAACTTAAATTCCTGGAACACCTTAGATATTCAGTAAATGACTGGGAAGGTGAGTGGAAGGGAGGAAGACAGCAGACAGAGAGGTACTTGGAACTTTGGGTGGATGCATGGATAGATAGATAAAACCTTCTATAAACACCCCTGTTGGTAAACTCTTGCCCTCCTCTTGAATAACTCTCAGGCTCATTTTTGCTGCCACTCAAGCAGTTCTTCTATATGTCCTTGCCATATCTCCTCCTGTCAGAACCTGGCATCATGCTTCTCTCAGTCCCCTGCAGCACTCATCCTATAATGAGGCAGAGCTGGTGCTTAACAGATAACAGATTCTGCCTGCCCAATTTCAGGGCAGAGCAGTAACACCCACGGAGACCATTTCAGACCAGGGACATTAAGGGGAGAAATTGGGTCTAACTCCTCTCTCCTGGTGTGTTTTGACTACAGCATCACAGCCACAGCTGCAAGCATCGGAGCTGCTGGTGTGCCCCAGGCTGGCCTGGTGACCATGGTGATTGTGCTGAGTGCTGTGGGCCTGCCTGCCGAGGATGTCACCCTGATCGTCGCTGTCGACTGGCTCCTGTGAGTTGGAATAAATGCTCTGCCTCAGCCAGATGAGCAGGCAGCTTCCTACCATTCACAGCCTGCAGGCTGCCATCATCCCTGCTTAGATTGCCTAATGAGCCATCTGTTGCTGCTTTAATTTCCCTCTGACCAGGCTATCTGATAACATGCTTAAAAATTAACTCCTCCTAACTTTAGTGATTTTAAAAAGCCAGTTAAGCCCCATTACCTCATTATACCGGTGATACTCAAGATTAGAAGCTGGGTGTGGAAGAAGATAAACATAGGATAAAACGGTGAAGAAGCCAGGGAAAGGCCCCTGTTCATCCTGGCTTCTCCTAACCTGATTTGGCACCATGTCCTGGTTCAAAATCTGTGCATCTTATCAAGCATTTTTGGAGATGACAGGGGCAATGGTGTGAGCAAAGACTTTGGGGTAAGCTTCACTTGGGTTTGAATCCTCATCTGATGTCTTTTTAGCTTTTGAGCTTAAGCAAGTTCCCTAACCTCTCTGAGAGCCATTTGCATTATCTGTGAGACAGGAGAAATTCTGCCATTGACCCAGGTGAGTTCATGTGAATTGAGTGTCTAGAATCACATCTAGTAGACAATACATACGCAAAATATGGCAAATTTTATTGCTACAATTCAGATGAATTGGACCATTAAGGCCCCAAACAACTTCTCTCTCTCTCTCTCTCTCTCTCTCTCTCTCTCTCTCTCTCTCCCACACACACACACACACACACACACACACACACACACACAAAAATACAGCAGAGCATGAGAGTGAGAATGGGCCTTCTGTGATTCCAAAGTTAAAGTTGGAACTAGCCTGGCTCTGGGACTTATCCTGGATGTCCACTTCTAGCACCTAGGTCTGGCTCCATCCCCTGACCCTCAGGGTAAGTGTAATCTCCACATTGAACCTTTAACTTAAAGCCGATGGGGTTGACGGGGAAGTCCAGTGCTGCATGGTTTGTAGGTTGCAGGTGAGATGGAGGAAAGGAAGCAGAGACATTCTAGGTATGTCCCAAACCCTGCATCTGGCCTGGAAGCTGTCCCATACACAGTCCCCTCAACATTCACCAGGCCTTAATAAGCCAACTGAAATGGTGCCCTTGCAAAAATACCATACCACTGAGGTCAGCTTTAGTTTTTCCTTCCATTGGTGATGATGGATTTGCCCTCTTCTCTTTCCCCTAGTTCTTCCTGAAACCAGGGACCTTCACTGTCACAAGAGCCAGATGAACCAAAAATCCAATCTGAAGTCATGGGATAGAAAGAAACTAGGGCCATTTCAATCCCTGGCCTTGCTCTATATAGCAGAAGGGCATGCAGAGTGGATATGTGTAGACACTTTTGGCCTTTTCCTTCCCACGGGTATCATCTTCATAGGAATACCTATGTACACAGTTCCTGCCATCAAAGCTCCGGTGTCAAAATGGATACTCCCCTCCCCAGGAGGCCTTGTCTTCAGACCGTCCTGCCATCAGCCTCTTCACTAGGCTGTCCAGAAGTTAGGACTGGCTGCAGTTGCCTCAAGGAGAATCCATTCCTGGGCTGACCTGTATTTTCTGAACCTGTGCTCTGCCATGTTCCTGGTAGCTTACTCATAGAACAAGATTCATTTGGTAAAGAAACAAATACACCAGGAAAGGAGAAAGTAAAAGAGAGAGAGACAGAGAGAGAGAGAGAGAGAGAGAGAGAGAGAGAGAGAGAGAGAGAGTGTGTGTGTGTGTGTGTGTGTGTGTGTGGCATAAGTTCTCTCACCTTAGCCAAAAGAGAACCCATAATATCAGTTGCATTGAATCTGGATGAATCATGAGTTTCCCTCAGTCCTCCAAACATCTCTGTAGGGACTGTATTCATATTTCTTTGGAAGAAGAAAAGAGAACTTTAGGAGATTTAGGGAAGACATTGCTACCTATTGGGAGCACAGACCCAGTGGAGCCTGTTTGTTCTTTCTGTGGCTTTAGAATACCCTTCTGCCTCAGGCCTGTGAGGCACCTCCAGCCAGCCAGCCATGAAGACAGAATTTTCTGTATTGATTTAAATCTTAACCAAACACATCAGGTCCTTTCCTTTGTCCTGTCAGTGATGAAGGAGAGTGAAATCTGAGCCCTCTGCCTGACTTTCCTGTCTCTTCCCCAGGGACCGGTTCAGGACCATGGTCAATGTCCTCGGTGATGCATTTGGGACTGGCATTGTAGAAAAGCTCTCTAAGAAGGAGCTGGAGCAGATGGATGTTTCATCGGAAGTCAACATTGTGAATCCCTTTGCCTTGGAATCCACAATACTGGATAATGAAGACTCAGATACAAAGAAGTCCTATGTCAATGGAGGCTTTGCAGTGGACAAGTCCGACACTATCTCCTTCACCCAGACCTCACAGTTCTAGAGCCCTTAGCTTCAGATGACTGGAGTGATGAAGGACATCTCCATGAGAGTCATCTCTTAGCGAATTCAAACATGAAGAGAAACGCTAATGGTCAATTGTACATGTAGTTTGATAAACAGACCTCCAGATTATTTTCTATATTTGGCTTCATAGCCTTTGTTCTCTGGGTTTTGGGATTTGGGGTTGGGGTAAGATAAAAGGAAATTGATTAAAAGAAAGTTATATTATCTGGGTTTGAAAATTTCTATAAAACAAAGTTTGGAAGTATATGAAGTAATAACTTTTTAGCATTAGGTAACAGATGTGGAAGAGAGATTGCTTTCTCATGCATAATCAGTGATTTGGGGTTTTTAAAAATTTCTGTCATTGGTTACAAATTTTTACTCAGACTTTCTATTGGCATGGATTTCCTTTGACTTCTCACTTTTTATAGATTCTAATGCATCTGAACAACCCCACCTGGTCAATGTGCCAAATTGTCCATTTTGAACTCATCTCCAGCCAGTTTCAAAGACACTGTTTTGGAAGACAAAACAAAACAGACCAGCACAGTTCTGCAATAACAGTTTTAACTTTAACATGGGCATAGCATTTAGGGAGAAGGGTTCTTTATTCAATGTACTGTATTGGGACGCTGGTAACTGTTAACCCAGTGTTCAGTATAGAACTATATATATATATATATGTATATATTTATTATTTTCATATAATTTACAAGACAGAGATCAGGATTAAACTGTCAATGTGAAATAAGGAACTCTCCTTGTACTTGAATAACCACAATTCCAACCCAAGTCTGCTTCACGGCTTATCAGAACTCCTTTCTCAGGAGCACTAGAATGAGAAATCGTGTTGTTTGATCACTTCACATCTGTGTGTCAGCCCTAAAGCAGAGATGTACTATGGTGATACTCCAGGGTGGCATAGCCATTCATTTACAATTCACAGACTTTTTGTGTTTTCTGGAGGAAATCCACACCAGCCCTCTACAAGATGATGTGCAAAGGTGTTGTTCCCAGAAGGCTAGACTTGCTTGGATCTGACTGGAAAGCTTCATCCTTCCAAGTTCACTCACACCCACTTAAAGAGGCCAGTATTTTGCTGCCCTTGGATTTTTTTATCCACCAGGGCCCAGACAACAATGACGAGCTACCAGCTAAGTTGTATTTTAATATAGATTCCACAGGTTGAACAAGACACATTGCCTAAAACAGCCATCCCTACCCTGGGTTCTTGCAAAATCAATCCCACAACATGAATGGTTCAGGGGAAATTGTTCCATCCTCTGACACTTGTCTCCTCCTCCAACACTTGTCTCCTCCTCCAGAGAGGACTATTCTAACTAGTTATCTTAGCCCTGCTCTTAAAATTCTCTACTTGTCATTCTTCTGCTAATGAAGGAAGATAGCTTATTAGAGTCTGTACTTCAGATCCCATCTTGTAAATAATGCTTAACATGAACTTGTACTTACATGGAGATAGATCCAAAATAGTCATGTTTTGCAATATGTGGTAGCCAACCTAAACCTGTACTTTTATATTTTAGAAACCAGAGATTGTGCCAAAGATAGCAGAAAAGTAAATAGTATTGACCACCTGTACCTGAAATCTACAAGAAAATAATACTGAAATTGTCATGTAAACACCAAAGTGAAATTCAGTGTGAATTTTAAAATGCAAATATTGGTACTGTTAATAGGAATTAAATCTAAATATAAATGGAGTTGAATCAGTAATGTATTTTTGGACTGAATGGTTCTATCCTCTTATCAGGTGGCTCCAATTAGTGGCACCAGAGTTGGCAGAGCTCTTCATGAACTATGGGTCATCTTTGTTTTGGAGTTTGTAACCAGCCTCTTAACACACTGTGCTGTTAACTCATAGAAGAAACAGTGTTCCATTTCAGCCTCAATAAACATTTTCTTCATTCTTTCTTCCTGGCTTTTTCCTCCTTCCTTGTATCTGTTCGTTTATCTTACCCAGGTGGATGTGGGAAGGTGGAGATGTGGCCAGCTAAGTCAGATTGTACACAGTATATTGTTTTCAAAACCTTTAAACAACCCCAAAATGAAAAAGCCTGGCCTGAGAAAATATAACCTTCATGTGAACCAGTGAGTGTTACATAGTTGAAATACAGTGCCATTCTGAACAGCTGTGCTCACATTTTGTGACAGAGATGTAAATAGACCTTTGTTGGAAATTAATAGGAGACAGGCTTATCTCAAGAGGATGGTGACTTGGTTTCAAGGAAGAACCAGTCCTGCCATCTGAAATATGACTAATACAACCCAGCTAAAGGCTGGGCTGAGAGTGCTCTTTGAAGGGATGGCACTGTCCTGTGTGGAACACTTAAGTCATGATTGTGTTCTGTAGGACATGGTGGACTCATGATAGACATCAAAGGTACAGACAGAGCCTTGGGCCCCACTGAAAGAAGACAGTGTATGAATGCTTATCACTATCTGGCCAAAGGAAATCAGGAATGTCTCTTTTGATTGCATCATGCGGGGAATACCCAACAACACAAGTCCTCAGAGAGATTTGTTTGGAAGAATTGGTGCACCTGAGCAGAGGACCTCCATATGATTTTGATCTTGCCCAAAGTATACTCAGGGACAGAGGATGTTTTTATTAGCTCTGGAAAATGGCTATTTTTTTTCCAACAAATGTTTGGAAACCCTCTGTGTACAAGGACTTTTATTTAAAAAATACCTCTAGGGCTGGAGTTGTAGCTCAGTGGTAGAGATCTTGCCTAGCATGTGTAAGGGTATAATCCTCAGCACCACATAAAATAAATAAATAAAATAAAAGGTATTGTGTACACCTCTAAGAATAGCTACGGGGAATGTATTTGGTTTATAATAGAACAGTGGGCCAGCAGTGGTGTTGGCTTTACAGATGTTTAAGAATTTTCCCTGCCACAAGAGGAGACAAGCAATGGTCCTGAGGAGGCTTGGAAGAGTGCTAGAAGATGCCATGCAACAGGATTGATTTTCTGTATTTAACTGCCCAGCAGCAAACTGTGAAACACAATGGGTAGGCACGATGCAGTTGTGATGCCATGTCACCTTTGGGACCATTGCTAATAAGCTAAGACTTGATTTCTTCTTCTATGTAATAAGAATGACAATCCTTGCCTCAGGAGATTGCTTTAAGTATTAATGAGAAAATGTATGGGATGTATTTAGCAGAGACCCTGTTAGTATCTTACACCCTATGCCAGCCCCTGGAGAAAAAATAGCCTACACCCTTTCCCTCCTCTCCAATTTATATATTTAGAGATATGCTGTTGTTGGATGTGTCCCCCAAACGTCCATTTGCTGAAGGTTTGTTCACCAGCCTATGGCACTTTAGGAGGTGGAGCCTTGTGGGAAGAAGTTAGATCATTGAGAACATGCCCTTGAAGGGGATATTGGGACCCTGGCCCCTTCTTGTCTCTCTTTTTGCTTCCTAGCCACCATGAGGTGAGTAGCCTCCTCTGCCATGTGTTCCTGCCATTATATACCACATCATCTATCACACTCCCATTAGCAATGGGGCCAGTGGAGCATGGTCTGAAATCTCCAAAGCCTTGAGCCAAAATAAACCCTTTCTTAATCTCAGGGATTTCATCACAGTAACAGAAAGCTAACATAAGTTGCAACTACAATTGCTACTGCGGTGTTTCAGTGTCACTGTGGCAATTAGGGAATGTGGTCCTAATTACAAGATAAATATCCATACCATTTTGTTATTCTGGTTGGGAAAAGTGAGGAAGGAAAGACATTGCTCTTCCAGAGACATTCCATTGATTTCTAGAAGGCCTCACCTGCCTGGAGCTGGGAAGCTCCAATCCCATAGAGCACCATTGGGATATTACCTGGAGAGAAGATTGACCTGCACAAGTACCGTGTATCAAAAGAGAGGCAAAGGACCCTGGAACTAAAATACAAAATCAAATCCCTGAGCAGTAGTGTTTGAATGCCAACACTATTTTCTCTTCAAAAAACTGCTTATTCATGGCAAACTAGAGGCTCTGGTAGCTGCCATTTCTCCATGACTCAGAAAAGTCATTAGCTTTATGACGTTGCATTCTCTTCTTTCACTTCTGGGTGTCTGGAGACTGCAAAGCAGAGTTGTCACCTAGGCCCTTCAGATTCAAGGGTCTGGCTGCCAGAGGAAGTCAGGAGGATTTGGAGATCTGACTCTAGCCAGGTTTTACTTTATTTTGTTAGGACTCTGTAGAAAGGTACATTTCAAGATCAAGGTAAGATGGGTTGAAATGAATTGAGTGATCCTGGGAGCACAGTGGCTAGAGAAAAGGCACCCCTTGCCCCCACAAAATGCTGAAGGCATGAATATTTTAAAGATGACTTTGATCCTCCATCGAGCATGCAGACATAATGTTCATTTAAAGAGCCCTTGTGTTGTATTCCTAAGGTTATCACTTAGCTTGGCAAGAATAATAAAAGGCCAGCAGAAGGGTTTTGTCTGGACCGACTGGAGTGAGGAAACAGGGTCCTAAAAACCTGAATCTGAGGATAACAAAATTTCCAGGTCTTTAGGAAAGAGAGTGGGTGTGACTATGTCAGAGAAGTGCTACTGTGTAAACTTATATTATGAATAAAAGAAGTACCAGTTTGGCCACAAAGGAGCACTGGCTGACCCTTCCTCAACACTTCTGTCTTCCCAGCATGCCAAACTAGCTTTACCTCCCAGGGCTTCCCAGCTAGTCCTCCATTTCCATTTAGCCAGAAACATTACAATAGACAAGAATTTGTCAGCTTCACATTAAACACACACAAACCCAAGCAAGACTCTGACAGGAGGGGTTAGTTAAGTCAGGAAAACATGCCACCTTCAATCCATGAAAAAATTAAAGATGCAAACAAGGCAAACTTGTGCTGCAAGGATCTGTAGTCTGCTCTTCTGCCCCTAGAACAAATTTGCTCATAGATTATCCCAGCCAGACAATTACCTACTCTATTCTGGTGTATCATTATCTTTCAGAGAAATGACATTGAGGCAAGTAAGGGTCCCATTTCTTTTTTTTAAATTTAATTTATTTTTTTATTAGTTGCTCAAGACAATACAATGATCTTGACATATCATACATTTGATTCAAATAGGGTATGAATTCTCATTTTTCCACGTGTACAGATTGCAGTATCACATTGGTTATATACATCCATGTGTATACATACAGCAATCCTAGTGTCAATTGTATTCTGCTGCCCTCCCTATTCCCCCCTGCCCTCCATTCCCCTCCCATCACTATTCTCTACCCATTCTACTGTGAGGGTCCCATTTCTTTAAGAAGTTGACCTAATACTTAATAGCTGTAGGCATCGAATGAGATTTCTCCCTGCCCGAATGAAGGCGAGAGGGGATGGAATGCTGTGATACTAGAAGGAAAAATGACAGGACAGAGGATTTTTATTCACTTGACAAATATTAGCATTGTAGTTATGATGTGGCAAGCACTGTTCCTACCACCTAAATAATAACTCATGTAATCTCATAACAGTATCATGAAGTGGAAGTATTATTATCTCCTTTCTATAGGTGAGGAAACCAGCATGAAAGGTTAATTTAAGCAACTTGGCTAAGATCATACAACAAATAAGATGGCACAGCAGTCCTGCTTCAGTGCCAATGTTCTTTACTGAGCACTATATAAAGCAGAGAGAGCCAGGGGTGCTGGAATATTAATTCTAACTCAAATCTGAGTGGTCCAAAAATTTCAAGACAAAAAAGAAGCATTGTAAAGATCTACTTTACAACATTGTACCTATAGTTAACTATATGGTACTGTATACTTACAAATTTTGGTAGCTCTGATAGTAAGTGTTCTCATAAAAAATATATATATATACACAAAGAAGAAAAGAAAGGGAAGGAGGGAGAAAGGAAACTTGGAGGTGACAGATTTATGATATTCACTATAGAAATGGTTTTACAGGCATAAAACTCTCCAAACTCATCAATTTTTACACATCAAATAGATGCAGCTTTTTGCATTTCAAACATATCTCGATAAATATAAAATAAATTTTAAAAAAGAATCATTGCTAACACCAAGTGCTAACTATGTGCTGATACTGAACAAGATATTGTATATACATACTTTTATTTGTTCTTCTCAATATTCCTATTGAGCAAGTAATATTACCCTTTGTTTTCCAGATGAGGAAACTGTGGTTTAGCAAGATGAGGTACCTTGTCCAAGTTCAAAGAGCTGGGACTCCCACATGATTCCAAAGTATTTTTAGAGCAATCAAGATTTGGGGTTTCAAAAATGCCTACAAAGCAAAAGGCTGCACATGGTAGTATTCAACTGTCACCTCATTAAAAGCTGTTCATCTTTTCTAATGATGGCATTTCATTGGCTATGATCAAATTTACTCCCTCAAATTTGTTGTCACATTCTAACAGAGACGAAAATATCTCTATTATCCCCTGTCACCTTGTGACCTTACCTCACCTCCTCCATGGCTGCTACCATTTCATCACATCACTCTCCCCTCATATCACCTTTAAATCCTTCATTCAAAACCCAATTCTTTGGGCTGGGTTTGTGGCTCAGAGGCAGAGCACTTGCCTACCATACATGATGCACCAGGTTCGAGCCTCAGCACCACATAAAAATAAAGATATTGTGTCCAACTATAACTAAAAACTAAACATTTTAAAAAATCAATTCTTCCAAGAAGACCTACCTTTTCCCAAACTAAAGATGGGAAGGTATCAGAATAAAAACTGAAACTATGTATCTCTTTCCTTTTCTTGACAAATGTTTGGGGTTGCTTTCTGGTCTTCATGTTCACTCTCCATTTCCTTCCCATTCGTTAACACCCTTGCCCACAACAGTCTGGTTTCCACCCCTACAGCTCTCCTGAAACCCCAAGGTAACCAATGCCCTGCTTGTGAAATCCAAAGGGCATTTTCCCAGTCA